TGGATAAAAGCTAAATACATTACACTTTCAACAAACTATTTTATAATTTAAGATTGAAAGGTCATGCATTGTTTTTGAGCAGGCAGACCATTGCTGTAGAGTTGAAGTGTAGGTCAAGTTTCATTTTTAAATGCCTTTGGTCAGATATTTTCCTGATAATTGGAGAAATGGTCTCTGAGGGCCAGTTTTACCTTGTGGCTGGGAACCCTAGCTGGATTCAGAGTCCAGTGATACTATACAGAATAACCACGGCAAAAGGTCTCCTTCTCTTTTGCACAGCAGGTAGTGTCACAATCTGCCCTCCACACATTTCTTTAAAGATAATAGAGATGCCAAAAGAGTGAACATTCTGGTTAGGAATTGCAAATAATACGTGAAAAAGCAGGGTTGTATTTTAGACTGAATTAGTAATTTGGATATATGTAGACCCACACTAAACAGCAGCATTTCTTAAGCACATACTACTAACCATGCTTGTTAGTGTTTTCTCTTGATGAAGTGAGAAACTTTGCTGCTTTTAAGAATTTTTGAGTTATAAAGAAGCCATACCTCTGGTTTCTGTACATTACAATGTTTGGTAGCTGATTTATTTTTGATACTTCTTTTAGGATTACGTTTGATACAGGTGATTTGTTCAACAGCATTACAAGCTGCAGGCATCCTCTCTTCGGACATGAATGAAATGTTGGCCAACTGAAATCACTGTCTGTAACTCAATTTCTTTTTCTCATCAGTTCTCAAGTGTTTTTTTTTTTTTTTAGTTATCCCACATTTCATAAAGAGATGTAAAACTACACCTTAAAAAATGAATTTCTTTATAGCTACTGGCCTTTATTTAAATATGGTGGCATAAACTCTATGTCTGACCTTTTAAAATGTATGATTACCTAGAATGTTAAAATTTTGCTATTTAAAAATTATTTTATCTTTAAATTTAAAAAATGAAATACTTTTCCTGTAAATTCATGGTTTCACTTAGTTCATAATTGGTGAAAAGGTGAGATCATATTTCTGACTGTGCTTGTTCTTGAGGTAAAGCTCAACAAATATTTGTGGGGTTCTTATTGTAGACACCCTAGTAGATTCAGAGTCTAGTGACAGTGGGCTACAAGGAACATGGTGGGCTCACAAAGAAGTTTAATCCACAATCTCTGTGCTGCTAATTATTAATACCCCATAAAAGCTGTTCAGAAATGTGTAGCATCAACCCAGAATTCCCATACGATTTTAGTGATAGTAAATCCATTCAGGTTTTTTCTGCTCTCATGTGCAAAAGCAATTATTTTCCCTAGAATTAGATTAAGTAGAAATAGAGAAAGTAATTGTTTTGAATGCTTTTTCTAATTAGTACACTAAAATTAAATCATTGCTGTAGTTAATTGATAAATCTGGGTGTATAAGAGCACCTTGTACTATTCTTGCAACTTTCCTGAAGTTTGAAATTATATCAAAATGTAAAGAAATTTCCACTGATACTCCTAGGAATTATGAAAGTTGGATTAAAATGATATTCGAAGTAGATAATTCTCATAATGAGAGAAAATTCGAAGAAATCTGAAAACTCATGTTGAATTTAAGTTACTCCTTTGCTCAGAGTATGGCAGTATCATTAGATATGGTGACACATCAGTTGAGCAACACGTGTTTTGAGAGTATGTATTTTCTATGGTATTAGAGCACTGAAGAATTTAAGATAACTTCTCAATCATATTCTGAACCAATATCTTTATCTTTTGAAAAAATAACAAGAAATGTGATTTTCAGAATTCTTTTCAGAGATAAAATATGTCAAAAGTCCATCTTTAATCATTAGAACAGATAGGTAATACCTTCTACCCTTTTCGTTTGTAAAGACTCAGAAAAAGCTTGATATATTTATGTCTTAGAGAGATGACTGTAAACAGTTCTTTCAAAATGATTTTTTCATCAGATATATTATCTGTTGTTATATGTAGAAAATTTTATCCATTGGCAAGCCTGTTTACTTTTCAATTTTATAAATGTGCTATTTAAAGGCAGCCTTACCTTTATTGCTCCACCTCACAGTTTCAGTTTGAAATTTTCCTGTGGGTTTGATTCGCCCTTAATGTCTCTAACTGTGTGTTGGAGGTGGTGCCACCTTCTTTAACAACATTTAGAACCAGTTCCAGCTCTGATTAGCTGTGCGTGTCATCCCGACATCTAGCACAGTGCATGTGCATGGTGATTAATCCTCATTATTTGCTGATGAATTATTGTGAAAGCATATTAATGAGCTATAAAGCCCTTCAGAAGTAGAACGTATTTTATATATAGTTGTTCATTACAAAGAGGCATAGCTCATGTCCTGGAGGATTTTAAAATCTTGTTGATATTTGTAATTGTAGACTATATTGATTGCCTGGGCTTTAGAAGATGTTTGTAATTTATTTCAAACAAAAAAATATTTTCTCCTTCCCTCCCAAAACTGACCTTCAAAAACAAGTCCTAGTCGGAATGAGTGGATGAAACAAGACTTCCTTACCAATGCCGTAGCATAGCTATTTTCTTTAGCTGCTCGACAGTGAATGTTCATGGGCTAAAAATGAGCATTTCTGAGGCAAATGTATTTGTTTTGTTTTGTTTTGCTTTGTTTTGGAGGCGGAGTCTTGCTCTGTTGCCCAGGCTGGAGTGCAGTGGTAGGATCTCGGCTGACTGCAAGCTCCCTCCCGGGTTCACGCCATTCTCCCACCTCAGCCTCCCAAGTAGCTGTGACTACAGGCACCCGCCACCATGCCCAGCTAATTTTTTTGTATTTTTAATAGAGACGGGGTTTCACTGTGTTAGCCAGGCTGGTCTCGATCTCCTGACCTTGTGATCTGGTCGCCTCGGCCTCCCAAAGTGCTGGGATTACAGGCGTGAGCAAATGTTTTTTAAAATTAATATTATCAGAGAGTTAATCTTATAATTTGCCAGTGTTATTGACAGAGGAGTCTTTCTGGCTGGGTTAGTATGGGGGGTTTCATTTTAAGCGAGGCATAAATAGTTTCTTTGCAGCTTGTGCCTTGGTTTAGATCACTTTCAGAAACCATAAAAAAGAAAAAAAACACATTTCTTTTTTTATTTTTATTTTTATTTTTTTACTTTTATTTATTTATTTATTTTTTTGAGACGGAGCCTATATCTGTCACCCAGGATGGAGTGCAGTGGTGTGATCTCGACTCACTGCAACCTCCGCCTCCCGGGTTCACTCCATTCTTCTGCCGAGTAGCTGGGACTACAGGCGCCTGCCACAACGCCTGGCTAATTTTTGTGGTTTTGGTAGAGACGGAGTTTCACTGGGTTAGCCAGGATGGTCTCGATCTCCTGATCTTATGATCCGCCCGCCTCGGCCTCCCAAAGTGCTGGGATTACAGACGTGAGCCACTGCGCCTGGCCAAAAAAAAAAAAAAAAAAAAAAACACATTTCTTTTGAAATGAAAAAAGAAATTCCTCATGTGTTAACAGTTTAAAGTGTTCTATAGATATACTCTGACTGGGGTAGGAAGTTGCTTTTTGGCAAGAGTATTTCTTTTCTTCTTCTTTTTTTTTTTTTTCTTTTGAGAGAGAGTCTTGCTCTTGCTCTTGTCACCCAGGCTGGAGTGCAGTGGCGTGATCTCGGCTCACTGCAGCCTCTGCCTCCTAGGTTCAGGTGATTCTGCTGCCTCAGCCTCTTGAGTAGGTGGGATTGCAGGCACATGCCACTATGCCTGGCTAATTTTTTATTTTTAGTAGAGACGGGGTTTCACTATGTTGGTCAGGTTGGTCTTGAACTCCTGACCTTGTGGTCTGCCTGCCTGGGCCTCCCAAAGTGCTGGGATTACAGGCGTGAGCCACAGTGCCCGGCCTGGCAAGAGGTGTTTCAAACTATCTGTTTAGATTGTGTACTCCTTACTTTGAAAGAAGAAGACATGCCTGTAACTTTTTTTCCCCATGTTAAGAATCTTTAGCATGCATTTCTCTCTAAAGGTGACCATGGGTTCTAATTTTGATACTGAGAAGCTATGACTCCTTAAAGGTTTTCTTGGTTCTAATTCAGTTACTGACCAGCTGAATCTTGGCCCTCGTGCTCTTTGAGTTTGTGTGTGATTATCTGTCGGATAAGACCGTGGGCTAGATGGTCTCTCAGCTTCCGTTCAACTCTAACAATTCCAGTATTTTCCATGTTGAGTATCCTTTAATCAGTGTTTCCTGTATTTTTTCATTGCAACTTAATGTATTCTCCTTCAGAGGCATGGTGCATACAATTTCATGGATCTTTCTACACTAATAGTAGTACTATGGGAATTCTGAACACCACAGCATGGATATTTAATATTTCAGAGTGTGATTATTATTAGAATGTATTTTTCCATAAAAACATAGAATTTATAAATAACATTTCATGGAAGGATAACAAAAGATGGACTAATTTGATTCTGATTGAGTCAAATGGAAAGGGAAATAGGAGAAAATTTCTATTCAGAAGGCTTTATGTCATGTATATCAATACCATATTGAACATGAGGCTATTATTGGCCATTTTACCTTTTATCTATTATGGTATGTATATGTACTCACAGTACTAAAAAAGATGTCACCAAGTCAAATGAAACTGCATTCTTACTTTTGTTCCCTATCAGTGCTGGAATTCTGCATAATTATCCCATTTAGGTGGCTCTCCCATTCCTCAGTTCAGCCCTAGCCTTTGACATATTATGTAATATATTAAATACTACACACCCCAGTTCACATCTACTTTTGCCTCAAAGGCTCCCATCCCTAATTGTATCTATCTGTCGACCTCCAGCCTGTCCTTAATACCTCCTCTATGAGACCTTCCCCTCCCATCCCACCTGGGTGGGATTTGTCCCTCGTGAACATGTGTAGCACTTTCCACCCTTCTCACGACATTGAGAAACATTAAGATATTCTTGGTGTGCTATAGAGAATGAACAAACTATTTCTGATTTTACTTCCTTGACCTCAGAAATGATACTGTTTTGTACCCATTCTTTCTCCAGATAACGAAGCTGAAAATAGATAGCAATCCTTTTGCCAAAGGATTCCGGGATTCCTCCAGACTCACTGACATTGAGAGGTAATGAGAATTTTCTGTTTACTTTCTTGTTCAGATAAGATCAAGAGAAGAGGGAGTTTGTAACAACACACTCCTTTCGACACCAGAGAATCATAACCTTACTATGTATAGTCTTCTATTCTCTGTGCCCCATTCCTGGTACATATGCAACTGCTTAAGTCTGACAGCTACTGTGACTGGATCTATTATATGCTTAATTTCTGAGTGAAATAGTTTCTTTGGTCAGGACATTTATTCTACTATAAAAAATAGGGCTTTGTTGTTATTAAAGACTTAGTGCTCTTGATATTCTTAAGCTTCATGTCTCAATGAGTGGCAGTCTGTAGAGAAACAGAACCGTGATAGCCTTTTACCTTCCCAAGTAGATATATTTGCTAACACAAAGAGTGTAAGGGTAGTTTGGAATTTTAAAACAAGGAGATGTAATTTAGTTCAAGGTCACATAATTTTACCAATATAGTAGACTGCTTATATTTAATAGGAGAGACATCAGGCAGGCCTCAGGACCTCTAAGAAGACAAGTGAAATCATGTGCCTGTAACTTACCCTACTTTTTACTCAATTAAAATGGTTCATGCAGTTTGAGACCATTGAGGTGATGAGTAATTACTATATGGAGATACATATTTTGCCCAGTGTGAACGTCAAAAATTGTTTTTCAAAGAGAAGACTTTTAAACCTGACTGATTATTTGTACTTCTTAAACACACTAATTCTTTTATGTGGCCCAATGTCTTGGTTGACCAGGGAAGTTCCCTAGCCACCAGAACCACTGATTTACTTTATCTCTACATCTTTGTGTAATTTCCCTACTAACTGCTGCACATTTCTGCTGCACTCTTTGTTACCCACATAGCCACATCTCCTGACCTCAGCACTTCTGTCTAACCTATCTTGGCAACTCAAATTAAGAGATAATTACGTATTTTAACAACCCCTGTCTCACCCTTCCTAAGCCTTCCCAAATGGCAGAATGTGAGGTGGAGGTTTGATTTAGGGGAACAGCCTTAGAGGCTCAGTGGGGAAGCAGAGGAGCTAGCAGGAGAGGCTGAATGTTGGGCAGGAACTATGGGATTTGAGCAGAAAAGAAAGATTAAATAGTTGGAGAGCTTGACCAGTTGGTTGAAAGTGTCGAGATCAGGAAAAGAAACTTGAGCTTGTGAGTGAAAATCCATTGCAAAGTGCAGAGAGAAGGCAAGTGGTAACTCTCAAATTAGATGGGATACAAGTCACTGAGAATGTGGTACCAGCAGTAGGGGGCAACAAAGGAGTCCACTTGCAAAAGGCAACTTCATTTAGGCATGACTTTATTTCCTGTTTCTGAGGGCCAGAAGCCCTGCTGCAGTGGGTTTATGCAGTTGGGATTGTTCTAAGTGAACTGTTTCTCAGTTTTATTCAGGTATGAAGTAAGAATGGAGACAGTGATGCAGTGGGGTGATAGTGATCTGCTTTTATAGTGTGTGTCGTATTTTTCTGTCTCAGACCTTGGGGGTACGTACGATATATTGGGAGAAAAAAAAGTTAGGGCTTAGAGTCTCACCTCTGCCTTCTCCTGGGTAAGTGACCCTGAAGAAGTCACCAGACTTCCGAGTCTGTTCCCTCATCTAGAAAATGGAAAAAATAACCCTGCTCACCTCAGAGGTTTATTCTGAGAATCAAATAAACTGGCATTTATGACAGCATTTTATAAATCTAAAAATGTAAAATAATTACAAGTTCTTCATCTTGTTTTATGAGCATTTCATCTAACAACTTTTATCCCACGTAACTCTATGTTTCATAGTCTTAATAAACTACTCCTAGAGTAAAAATAGCCTTGTAGTTGCACATGGGTTTACAAGATAGGAGGTACTCAGTCTGACTGCTCTTTAGAACAGCAGATTTGATAATGCATGCGGCCACATTTTCCACTTATTGAATAAGCATCCTGATGTGGGAGCACTCACATGTACACGAAGCTAAGTAGCTTTCAATGGTCTGAGGGCAAAGACAGCACTCTTTACATGACTAGCTGAAAGTTTGCAAGATGACCTAAGTAGTGTGAAATTGGCCGAGGTTTTGGATTTCATTTCCAGATATTTAAGTCTGAATTTTTCATAAACAGCCTTTGGGGATGGGACAAATCAGATCAATTGATCTTTAGAGACCTAAAGAAATTAAATTAGTCTGGAGTCAGTTACTGCACTAAACCATCTAGTAATTGAATTGCTCCTTGTAACTGATTGAAAACAGCCCTATCCTTAACAATATAGGGAGCTTTTCTTTATAAGAGATCTGAGAGAAAAACACATCTTTTTATGACATGATGACAGATATTGCACTTTTCTAACCTAATTGAATATGATGTTATAAATATGTGACCTTAATGATTTCAAGTTTCCTGTTTCAGATTTACAACTTAATGTGTGGGACACCCAAACAAAAATGCCTTTAGGATTGGATCTGTTTGCCTGTACCTCAAAATTCACAGTTTTAATCCTTCTACAGCTACACAAGCTTTTGGGATACTCTTAAAGGTGTTTTAGTTTTCTTGCTCTAATCTTATTAGGTTCCATTGAGGTACTTGAATGTCTCACTTTGTGTGTAGCCTTACTCTTCAGGGACATCGTCTTCCTCATTTCTAAAAGAAAACCCACCTCACTGGCAAAAATAGAAAGTATTTTCATTACTGCTTTGTAATATACCTACCATGGTCAACCAGGAAGCAAACCAAAAGCCCAAAGGGATATCTTTATATAATCTAATGTCTAGTTTCTCAGATTGGGGAAACAGTTATTGGCTGGTTTCATATAATAAGCTTTAGACAGTCATTCAGTTGGCATTTTGTGTTTCTTTTTTAGGGGGAGGTGCGGTTAACTTCGTCCAGTACACTTCTGAGAAAGGAAAAATAACTGGGAGGAGTTATCTATGTTGTATTCAAAATTAAGTTTCTTTCATTAATTTTTTTCTTTCTACTAAAAGAGTTTGTGTGCATTGCCAAAAAATCAGAAAATACGGACAAGAAAAAGAGCATAAAAAAGCAGTGAAACCCCATTTTCTTAGAGATGACCGCTGGCAAAACCTATTATATATTCTTTCAGATACTTTCTTATGCACGTGTGAACATTTACTTCCTTTAAAGTTTATCTTGCCAACTATATTATTTTTAATTTTCCCCCTTAATATAAATAGATATATGTCTGCAGTATACTTTTTATTGGCTTTCTAATTTTCCATTATGTGCTGTAATTTATTTGACTAATCCTATGCATTAGTTATTTAGGCTTCTGATTTTTTGCTGTTACAAATAGTGCCAGGAGGAAAATATGTATCTTTATACATCTTCTTAATTATTACCATAAGATAAATATCCACAAATTAAAATGCTGAGTCAAAGGATTTTTTTTTAATCATAGTATTATTTTTAATTGTTAAAAAATTTGAAAAAAGAACTCAAATATTCAATAATAGGAGAATGGTTTAATAAACTTCATAGCCATGCAACAGAGGTTTTAGAAATTGTGGTAAAATATATATAACATAAAATTGACCATTTTAACCATTTTAAAGTGTACAATTCAGTGACATTAAGTACATTCATGATGTCGTGAAACCATCACTGCTATCTGTTTCCAGAATGTTTTCATCATCCCAAATAGAAACTCTGTACCCATTAAAATAACTTCCAATTTACTGTCCCTTTGAGGCCCTGGTAATCTGTATCCTACTTTCCGCATCTATGAATTTATCTAGTCTGGGTACCTCATATAAGTGGAAAGATGTATAGTCATGAGTCACTTAACAGGAGGGCTGCTTTCTGAGAAATGCATTGTTTGGAGATTTTGTCATTGTGAAAACATCATAGAGTGTATTTACACAAACCCAGATGGTACAGCCTACTACACACGTAGGCTATTTGGTATGGCCTATTGATCCTAGACTACAAACTGTACTGTGCTGCATGTTACTGTACTGAATACTGCAGGCAGCTGTAATGCAAGGGTAGGTATTTATGAACCTAAACATTAAAAAGGCATAGTAAAAATACAGTGTAAAACATAGAAAGTGGTACACCTGTATAGGGCACTCACCATGAATGGAGCTTAAGGTCTGGAATTTGCACTGGGTGAGTGGTCAGTGAATATGAAGGCCTAGGACATTACTGTACACTACTGTAGACTTTATAAACACCGTACACTTACGCTATACCAAATTTATAAAGAATATTTTTCTTTAAGGATAAATTAACCTTAGCTTATTGTAACTGTTTTACTTTCTAAACTTTTTAACTTTTTGACTCTCCTGTAAGAGATTAGCTTAAAACATACACATTGTACAACTGTACAAAAACATTTTTCTTTATATCCCTATTCTGTAAGTTATTTGAATTTTTTTTTTTTTTTTTTTTTTTTTTTTTTTTCTAAACATTTTAATTAAAACCTAAGACATCATCAGACACAGCAGGCCTACCGTGGATCAGGATAATCAATATCACTGTCTTACACCTCCACATATTCTGTCACTGAACGTCTTCAGGGGCAATAACACACATCTCCTGTAATGATAATGCTTTCTTCTGGAATACCTGCCAGAGGATCTGCCTGAGACTGTTTCACTGTTAACTTTTTTTTTTTTTTGATGAGTAGAAGGAGTACACCGTGAAATAATTATAAAAATTATAGCATAGTACATATACAAACCAGTAACATCATTGTTATCACTATCAAGTATGATGTACTTTATACAAACGTGTGAGTAACGTGTTATGCTGCTGCATTATGATGGCTGTGATGTCACTAGGTGATAGACGTTTTTCAGCTCCATTCTGATGTTAGGGGACCGCTGTCATATACATGGAATGTTGTGAGCTGAAACATTGTTATGTGGCACATGACTGTATGTGTTTTTAAGGCATTTTATGCGTACTGCCAAGTTTCCTTCAGGAAAGGTTGTTCACAGCAGTTACCCATTCCTTTATGCCTTTGTCAGACATGATCATCGTCTTTTCATCTTTGCCAGTT